CTGGTCTGTAAACTGAGGGTGGACACCAGCCATGCCCCACCCCCTTTTCTGGTTGTCCTAAGGGCTAAATGACATCACAGCGTCTGTGTAACTAAATTGCTCCTGTTCCTTCCCCCATCCTATCTACATGATCCCTTCTGTCCTGGCCATGGCCAGCAGGAGAGCCTGGGCCTATGTCACTGGGGTGAGGGGCAAGCCCTGGGCCTCACTTTGGAAATGTGCTCACCTGGAGAACCCTGGCTGCCTTCCCTGGCATCTTAGTAGGGGCAGCCATGGGGAGGGCAGTGCCAGATGGTTAAGCTCAGAAAACAATGGGCCTCTGTGACCGCCCCCCCCCCCCGCCCCCAGGATGGGCCAGTTCTGGGGCAATGCCTGGCTTTGGCTTCAGATAAGTCCTCTCAGACCCAATGCCTGAGGCCAGTACCTGGGGATTCCAGCTGCTTTGGCTGCCCCATGCCCCATCCAGGGAGAAAGTAAGAGTGCCCCCATTCCCTTCCCGCCTGGACATATGTGTCTTTCATCACCAACCCCCAGGTACCACCAGGCTGGTGGCACCAACAGGTCTCAAGGAGACCAGGGAAACCCAAGAGACCTGGCCCTGACCCTCCTATTCCTGACCTCTGCTGAACACCACAGGCCACTGTCTTGGGATAGCTCCCCCTCAGATCATTCTTGGGCCACCTTTGTGGGCTGGGTAGACATCCTGAGGTGAGATGTGTGCCACCCCACTCCAGTCACAGTCCTCCTGTCCTGCTGGTCATAGGTCACTGCTCTGGCACCAGCATTCCAGCGGATTAAGTTGCATTTCAAAATATGCGTGGTTCCAGTCAGAAAAATAGGCAAGGGGCCCCCCCGCAGAGGGACCCAGCAAAGGCTGAGTGGCTGCTCTTCTGGAGGACACCTGCTGCCTAGAGAGGCAGGGACCTGGTGGCAGAGCAGGACAGGAGCAGAGAGGTGTGAAGCAGGGGCTGGGAGCGGGCCAGGCCCACCTGAGAAGACAGGAATCACAGCAAGGGCTTGCTCAGTGCCTCGTGGCCACCTTACAGAGGGGGCCATGGCCACTCACTTTGCAGGTGAGAGAAAAGACAAGGCCCTGCCACTGCCCTCCAGCTAGCTCTCAGGTGGGACACACTCCAGGGAGACACAGGTGACCTACCCTCAGCATCCCCTAGCCATCTCCTCAACCATGCCTGGGTCAGGCCCAGCTGTATTGTCCAACGCAAAGCCCCCTATATAGCCTGAGGGAAGCCCTGGCTTCGCTGGTCACCTCCAGGCAGTGGTTTAACCTTCCAAACCTCAGTTTGCCCTTCTGGAAATTGGGGCTCCTAGTCCTTGCCTTATCTCCCACTCCAGTTCCGGTGAGAGTCCCAGGAGAGAACAGACAAGGAGAGCTTTTGAAAAGTACAAAGAGCTGCACTCATGAAAGAGCGATTATTATTGTTACCTCGATGTAGAGATAAGGGAGGGGGAGGAGGCCCAGTGACAGTTGCCAAGAAACCTGGGATCTGTCTGCAGCAGCGGTTTCCGCCTGGCCCAGCCCACTCAGGAGCGGGCCTTGCCACCCACACCCCTACCTTGTCCTTTCCTAGGAAAGCAGGATGCTCTGAGAGGGAACTGGGCCAGCTGGCCCGTGGCCATGAGGCCATAGCAGCTGGAGGTGACCCCAGAATGTGCTTGGCACAGATTCTAGGTTGGCTTCAGCTTTCTGTGTGACCTTGGGCAAGTCACCTCCTCTCTGGCTGCTGCCAGAGGTGGGCAGGTGTCCAGACCAGACAGGGCAGGATTGCCGCTGGACTGAGGGAAGACACTGGCAGTGGAACCCAGGGCTTCGATAGGGAGGTCACAGAGGTCAGAGACCGAGTAATGAGCCCGAGGGCTTGTGCTGAGAGCAGCTGGGACGTGTGGAAGGAAGCCCTGGCTGGAGTCAAGCCTCTGCACGGCCCCTGCCTGGTGTGACCTTGGGCCTGGTGCTTAACCTCTGTATGCTTCAGTCTCCAAAGGCCAGTGCAGTGACGGAATGAGCCAGTGCCCATACACACTGCCATGCTATGAGCATGTGACTGCGGCCAGTTGTGATGGGGCAAGGAGAGGGGACAGCTTCGCTCATCCTACAGGGGGAGAAAGAAGGCAAGGCAGTTTAAGCTGAACTCTGCTATAATCCAGAAGGCTTTTGGGGGGAAGTGGGGAAGGAGACCCCTATGTGAACGGAATGGTAGCAACCAGGAGAGGATAGGTTGGATTAGGAGAGAGAGGGTGGGGAATGGAGCTTTCTGTTCATGAAGAGGGAAGAAACCCCAAGTGCAGGCCGTCTGCAGAGACAGGCAGGGAATGGTGGTGGTGGCCTAGCAGGGTGGGCCAGGAGGCTGTGAGGAACGGAGGGAGGCAGAGGCTGAGTTCAGGCATCGCTTCAAAGGTTTAATTTTGCAGCTCCAGTTTACTAAGAGGCAGGCAGCGCAGCATTAAGGACAACACCTCTACACCCACATGGTAGGGGTTCAAGTCCTCGGACTTACTGCATGACCAGGGGCAAGTTACTGACTCTCTCAATGTCTTAGGTCTCCCCTTTGAAAATTGAGGATTCAACCAGTGACTATAAATAGTGATTAGAGCAGAGCTGGTGCCAAGGGGGCACAGTGAACAGTGCCTGCTGCCATTGCCCTTGTGACTAGAAACACACACACACACACACACACACACACACACACACACACACCCCTGACATGGGCTGGGCAGGCTCCAGGTGGCTGTCCACACAGTTGGCCTTACCAAGTTGAGATCTTGGCTCTGGAGTCCACAGACCCGGATTCAGATGCCTGCTCTGCCTCGTTAACTGTACAGCCTTGGGCCTGAGTGACCTTTCTAAGCCTCAGTTTCCTGATGTGGATTCTGAGCACATGCCTCATTGGGGTCTGTGAGGATGAAGGGCAGTTATGCACGCACCAGGTGGGCAATGGCTCTGTCATCAGTGTCCTTCTTGTCACGCTTCTGGGCTGAGTGTAGAATTTCCTCCTCTGTCCCCATCCTGGAGCTCCACCCTCCCCCTGCCCTTTAGGGCTCAGTAGTGACTTTTTAGGTGGTGTTGCCTGTCAGGGGCTGAGTGCTGCCTGGGAGGAACTGGACTTTGGCCAACAATCAGAGAGCCAGCAGGCTGGAGAGGGGGTCCCACATGGTCACCAGGGCCTCTGAGCTTTGAGAGGCCACCTTGGGCCTGTGCCAGAGTGACTGGTCTGAGTAAAGTAGACCTGGGAAAGACAGAGGGTACTGCCAACCCAGCCTGACCTGGGTGGTGCTAGTCACTCAGCAGTCAGGGCTACATCAGGACTGCGGTCCCCCCACTGAGGACAACCAACCTCACTCAGTCGTTAATTGTGGGACTGCTAGCCCCTGGGCAACCTCTGCTTATTCCCTCAAGGACCTGCACTTTAAATTCAGGTTCTTCCCCCCACTGACTGGGGAGATGGCTTCACCTCTCTGAGACTCAGTTTCTCCATGAATAACACCAGCCTCCTGGCATCACAGTGAGAGTGCATTATGTTTGACCTAGTTCCAGGCATACAGGTCTCAAAAGAGTTTCCATGGAGTTCATCTGGACATTTCTGGGGCCTTCTCTCCGGGGGCCTTAGCCCCCATCTCCACTTTCTCTCCAGGTCAGTGGGTCTTATAGTTTTTAAGAAGCTGTGTTTAGGATGCTCCCTTATTTACAAACTTTCAAAGACTCCCTACTGCCAACCTTCACACATTCATTCACCTATGTAATAGGATGCTAACTGGGGGAGCCAGAGTTTACGGTGAATGAATAAGGATGAAAATATTCATGGACTGAATGCCTGCAAGCTGCCCAATCTCTGTGAGGAATTTTTTGGAAACTGAGTCTGAGACTCATACATCTCTAGTCAGTGCCTGAGGGTATCCTGTCCACCTACACTGATGCCATGGGCTTGGAATGCCACTGCCACCTGATCCATCCTTTTTGGGTCAAGCACTGGGCAGTGTAGACCATTGGTTTAAGATGCTAGTGCCTCTGGGGGATAGAGGAGCCAAGTGGGGCTGTGGATGGCTCCCCTGGCTGGGAGAGTCCAAGAGGGGCTGAGAACTCCTTTGGCATCATGTTTCTGGGCAGGTTTCTATGGGGTGTGGCATCCCACCACTGCCTGACTCAAGCCTGCCACAGGCCACTGAGGATAGTCAGAAGGGTGACTCACTCTCGCAGGACCAGCCTTGCTTGATGGGTGCCGGGTGGAGGTGCAGCCACGTCAGGGTGGCCCTTGGCAGCGGCGGAAGCCAGGCCTGCTCACCCAGCCCCTGGCTGCCTGGATCCTGGGAACCAACAGAGTACTTCCTCTGTCCTCCCTGGGGTGGCCTCAGCAGGCTTCTAGGAGGGGCCAGGTGCTGTCCCTCCTGGAGGGCTGTGATGTGGGCAGAGCCCAGTTTCGAGCCGGACACGTCCTGTGCAGGTGCCAGCTCTGCTGAGGGCCAGCTGTGCGGCCTCTGTGTCCCTCTGGGTCCTCATCTATAAATCAGGAATTCCAATGTGGTGAGGATGGAATGCCTTCAGGCTGGAGAGAGGACTTGGTGCAGGCCTGTCACATCATGGGCCCAGTGAGCAGCAGTTACTGTCATCAGTAATAGCAGTAGCTTGGTAGCCTGTTGACTGTAAAGCTGCTGTCTTCCTAAAGGCTCACAGCATCTTGAGTACCCTGTTTGTCTAGAAGTCTTGGTTGTCTGCAGTAACCCTCACTGTCCTGGCCTCAGTCTACAGAATGGACTGTGGCATACCCACTGTGAAGGTTCATGGAGAGAGGTCCTGTGGGGAGAGACCCTGTGCAAATCCCAATCTCTGGAAGGAGGCTTGGCTCAGCAGGCCTGCTCAGGAAGACCCCCTCCTCCCAGGGAGCCCTCTGTGATATCCACCCTGTTCACCCCACTGATGCCTCTGTCCCCAAGACCTCCAAGTCTCCCAACCTGGGGCTCTCTCTAACCTCAGACTCTTTCTCCTCCAGGAGGAGTGATGGGCAGACCCGGCACATCCCTCAGGCACTAGACCTATCACAAGTGGACTCAGTTCCCTCCCACCCTGCTTCGCTGTGCCCCAAGGTGAGTACCAGGGCTGGGAGAGGCAGCAGGAGGATGAGCAGGGAGGTTCTTCTGGGGGTCAGGCTGCTGCCCCCAGAGCCCTGGTGGTCTGTGCAGCATGGGAGGAGAGACCCAGGAGATGGGGAGGGCTTCGTGAGTACAACTGGGCATGGACTGGCCGGCCCTCCATTTTCTCCATTAGCGTTACCATCACCTTCCTCTGTACGTCAGGTAGGATGACAGGACCAGCTTCACAGGCCGTTGTCAAGACCAAATGCCATGGTACCAACCGGGCGGTATCACCATTCATCCTCCAGCTGAGTGCTGTCATGGTCACTATTTTTAGTCCCATTTGGCAGCTAAGATAGGGCTGAGTTAGTTATTCACCTAAAGTCCTGCAGGTTGGCTATGGCCCAGCCAAGACTGGATGCTACTGTCCGTTCAGAGTGTCTAGTAAAAGGCCAGATATGGGTGCACATCTGACACCCCAACACTCAGAGGCAGAGGCAGGAGGATCTCCATGAGTTTGAGGCCAGTCTGGGCTAAACAGCAACTTCAAGGCCACTCTGAACCGCACAGGGATACCCTGCCTCAAATAACCAGTAAATAACTAAATAAGTACCTGGGTCGTACCTCTCTAGCACAGGGATAATGAGCACTTACCTCTGTAGTGTGTGCTGCAGTTTTTAAAATGCATCAATAAACACTGTGCCCGCTGGTCCTTTCCTCAGCCCATGGGGGGCAAGCCTTCTCTGGATGAGAGTCCACAGGCTCAGACAGGTGAAGGGGTCCACCCAAGGTCACACAGGCAGGAAATAGTAGAAGCAGGGTTTACCTGACTCCTCCACCAGGGCTCTAGCCTGGAGCAAGGCCCAGGGCCCTTTTCTGGGCCAGGAGGGAGGATGTGGGACTGCCTCCTGCATGCGGGTCCCAAGTGGAGGTGCTGGTGATACCAGAATGGGACTCTGGGGCCCCCTCTGCTTTCCTCTGCTTGGGGGAACAATGCAATGCTGGGCCATAGGGGTCCTGGGCCTTAGCAGGAAGAGGGTGACTTGATGGCGGTGGCTCACCGGACCAGCTGGGGTCATGGATGACTCTCCCGGCCCTTCTGTCCCTGGGCATTTGGTGAGAGGCTCCCCTCCTTGGGCCTCAATAGTCCCATCTTGGAAGAGTGTTTATAGCCCCTTGCCGGTGGTCCTGCCTGCTCAGGCAGCCTGGGGTGGATCTTCTGGATTGGTGCTGAGCTGCCTCACCTCAGGTTTCCTGGCCTCCACCCAGTCTGGCAGCATCCATTTGGCCAATATAGCTCAGACAGTGGGTGCCAGTGCCCCCTCCAGAGAGTTCATCCCTCCCCAGAATCAAGACCCAGGCTTGGGATCACCCTCCTCTGACAGGAAAGGAAACCAGGCTCAGAGCGATGGAACCATTATGGGGTCCCCAGTGAGTCAGTAGTGGGCTATGGGAACCTGGGCCTGGGACTCACTCTCAATTTCTCCCCCTAGCACCCTGAAATCTGTGCACATTTATAATTGTCATGAAACAAGTCTGAGGGACAAGTGACCTCCCCAAGCCAGTGAGTGGGCAGATCTCTGGCCTTTCCTAGCCTGTTTCCTCACCTATACCACAGGTTGATACCTGTGAAAATACTCGGGAAGGTAGAACATAGAAAGCTGACTATAGAAGCACCATTACATTCTCAGGGCCAAATAGAACACTCAGAGGGGGTGTTCCCTTCTCTTTGGGGAGTCACCTCCCCAAAGAGAACCAACACTGATCTCCCCTCCCCTCTACAGTTTTCTCCACTCAGGAATTCACAAATCTGCACACATGTATATGCCTAGATACCCACATCTAGTACAGAACGTAGTCACAGATACAAAGCACATGTTTGTGCACGTACATATGCATGAGATCTACGTGTAGAACACAAAAATGCACATACCCAGGCATTCCCATGCACAAAGAATCACAGCAGCTCTACGTGCACACAGCTACATCCTGCATCCTGAAGTTCTTGCCTCCTCTGGGGCTAGTGTGGGAATGATGTTCCTCTGGCTGCATTTCGATGAGTGCCCGGAAGTGTGCAGGCCTGGAAGTGGCTCTGTAAATCAATATTTGCTGCTGTTAATTATTAAAATCAAAGCTGCTACTCTGTGTCTGGAACGCATATCTCCAGAGTTCCCACCGGCTCTCCAGACCCAAACCTGACCCAGGGCCAGGTCTGGGGAGTGAGGGGGAGGGAAAGCATAGTGCCCTCTTTCCAGAAGCCCCTGGCCCTGGGGATGCAGGATGGTGGGCAGCTGCATGCAGCTCTTCTGGGAAGGTGCAGAGAGGTCTAGAGCTGAGCTGTGGGGTAGCTGCGCCCTTGCAGCACCCAAAGCATCAGGGGTCGACTTGGCCGCAGCTCAGGAGGCACTGCCACTTTCCCAGCATCTGTCTGGAGGGGGAGGTGGCTAAAGCCGGCTAGGACACACTTCAGGCCAGCTGGAAAGGTCTGCGCAGGCCTTATATTTTACAGATGGGGAAACTGAGATCCAGAGAGGCGGCAGGGACTCACTTGTACCAATCGGCAGGTTGTAGCAAGGCCAGAGCTAGAAGTCACATGTCCTGAAGTCTGCTTGAGCCCTTTCCTCCCTATCATGGGGCCCAGGCAGCCTTCACCACCTCACTGTGGCACTGTGGCAGTCTCCTCTCGGGTTGGTGGCAGTTAGGGCTTGGGGAACACTGGGTACAGGCCAGCCCCTGTCAGACACAGGAGTAGGGAAGAGGGGCAGAAAAGACCTGGAAGTGCAGGTCTCTGTCCTTCCCTGCATAGCTGGTTATCCTGGCTGGCTAGGGCAAACTATTTTACCTTTTGGAATCAGTTTCCTCATCTGTATAGTTGGGATAACATCTATACTTCTTGGGTTATGACAACATGATTAGACATGCACAGGGTCCAGCATCAAGTGTTCAGAAAAGTCTTGTCTCCAAGGTAACCCCTCCTCTTCTTGGCCGGCTCCACGGCCTGTCCCCAAAACCTCATCCTTGAGGCCCCAAAGCAGGGCGCCTAGGGTCTGGGAGGACACCCAGAAGAGCCTTACCTGTTTAAAGCCCCCGACCCTGGACGAGTACGCAGGCGCAGTGTCAGGGCCGGTAGCGGGCCGGCTGCCCTGGGGGCGGGGAGGGGCGGGGCTTCGCTGTCCCCGCCCCGTCTCTGCGGCCCGCCCCGCGCCACTCATACCTGGTGCCCCGCCCTCCGGGGCCCGGCCGCCTGGTGAGCCCCGCGCAGGCAGCTCAGCCGCCGCGGGAGCCGGGAGCGTGGA